AACTACTGTCTCGTTTTGGAAAAATTTATTTCATCATCATCATCTTTGACTCGACAATCCGCTGTGGATGCTGGTCTGCTCTAAGATTCGTCGCCATTCTGTTGCCACCTTCTGATCTCTAGTATCCTAAGCGGTCTCATCTCCATCTAACCACGTAATTCGCTGTCAGCCTCTGTTGCTTCTTCCTATAAGTGTACCTGCCGATAGCTTTTTAGCAATCATATTGTCAGGCATTTATATTATGTGTCTAGCCCATCAAGGTCGCTGTGTTCTAATGACCGTTTCAACATCTGGTTCATTAATGAGTTGGTTACATTCGAAATTATATCTTTTGGGCCACTGCCCTTGATCGTTTATAGCTCCAAATATTCCCAGAAATATTTCATCCTTCTGCGCTAGAGTCCATGTTTCCGCCCCCTATGAGAGGACCGGCTCCAGCAGTGTTTTGTATATCATTTTAGTTTTTCTTTGGATATTTCTTGAGTGGAATTGCTTTTCGAGTCCATAGTCTTTGTAAGGTTTATTCGTCTTTTAATTTACTCGCTTGTTTTTTTGGTAGTAGTCACTAGCGAGCCAAGGTTTATGAAGTTGTCAATAAGTTTAAAGATATGACTTCCAAAGACTGAAGATGCGGAAAATATCTATTAGGTCACAATGTGAAAAGTTATCTGAGGTCAAACAACCCCTTTTTGAAATATACTATACACTACCAACATATTACCCTAAAATGTATAATACGAGCCCTAACAACTAAATGTTTGGACTAATGAAAATTTATTGAAAATGTTCATCTTCACAACTTTGATTAAACCAAAGAACGATATTAACAATATATTAAACTCTATCGTTAATAATAAAATATTGAAATAGTTCGGTCTCTATAAACTTTAAATTGCAGCGTTGGCGGCAAAATAAACGAAAATTTTGCATAAAATCGTGACAACTAAATGTTGACAATTCAAGAAGTTAATACTTCACCCTCGATTAATTTGTTTCTGATCCTAGAGATGGCTCTACTGCGGCATGGTGCTCCGGTAATTTTTTTAACTTAATTGTAGATTTCTACATGATTACTCTAACATAAATTGCAGTTTTCTATCAATATAATATCATTATATCAAGACAGTAATTTTATCAAATACGCTATACCTTATACTAATAGACCAACTAAGTAAAGATATCTTTATGTATAATAATTTACTGCTCTCCTGTGTCAGTCGGAATATATGCCAAATAAACATTCATTATATATATATATATATATATATATATAATATATATATATATATATATATATATATATATATATGATTGTGAATATCGCATTACCATTAAATTCGTACATCATATTGTTACGAACGTGCATTGAACGAGGCACGTATAACGGTTGCATCTCGAAACAGCACCTCATGCTTCCATGCGCCGCGGCGTCTCGATATTTCGAGAATGATCAGTCACGTATACGCCTAGAAGTGGGAACTTTCTAGAAAATAGTAACTTTGGTATATATATGTAACGATCTTAGGAGTAAGTTTAGTTGATAAGAGAATACCGAACTGTAAAGTTATAAATAAATATATTTATATAAATTCGAACCGCTCGTTTTATTTAATCTCGCTACAATTGGTGTCACAGTGTGAGGACAATAATTGATTTATTAAAAAATAAATTCAGCAGTGACTTTGAAAACGAAAAGACTTTTGAACTTTTGAAAAGTAGTGTTCGTCGGGAACATCCGCGTTGTTCGGTAGTGATCGTTGTACGAAAGAACATTTAAAAAGTACGTGTGTGCCTGACCAAAGATGCTGCTAGTAGAACTTTCAGTGAAACAGTTGCGTGAGCAACTAGAAGAACGCGATGAAGACTGCAGCGGGTCCAAGAAGATACTCCAAGAACGACTGAAGACTGTTCTGAACAAGAATGGAGACGACCCAGAGATATTCCAGTTCCAGTCAGCAGAGGAAGCAGTTTTAACAAAAATAAAAAATGTGTCACAAATGATTGAAGAATCTTCAAAAAAAAAAATGATGATAAATTCGAGACTGTTTCCAAAAGATTCGATGAAACGTCTCAAATGATTGAAGAATCTTCAAAAAAAAAAATGATGAAAGATTCAATGAAACGTCTCAAATTATTAAAGAAACAGCTAGACAAAACGACGAGAAATTCAAAAATATGTCTAGAAGAATCGACGAAGTATGCATTATATCGAATACCCATTTTAAACTACCACCGAGAAGACTCTACACCTGGAAGCCAAATTCAGAATCAGAGGACAAAATTATTAGGAATCAAATCGACTTCATTCTAATAAAAAATCGATTTAGAAACTGCATCAAATCAGTTAAAACTTATCCAGGTGTTGACATTGGGTCCGATCACAATCCCATAGTAGCTGTAACCCAATTAAAATTAAAAAAGGTGATCAAAAAGAAGTCTCGCAAAAAGATTGATACAGCCCAACTACAAGACGAGAAAGTTAAGGAATCAGTTCAAAGACAACTGAACGAAAATTTAATTTGGGAAAATATTGGTGAAACCGTCGATGAGGGCTTAAATAAAATCGTAACGACAGTAAAAGAAATCTGTGTGAGAAATTTATAAGGCAGGTCAAAGCCAAAAAAGCAGGCTTGGATGACAGATGATATACTGGATTTGATGGAACAACGGCGACTAGCAAAAACCAACGAAACACTTTACAATAGCATACAAAAAGAAATTCGACGTAAAATACGAGAAGCAAAGAGTCAACATCTAGCCAAACAGTGTCATGACATTGAAGAACTCGAAAAAAGATACGACACGTTTAACATGTATAAAAAAGTAAAAGAAGCGGCTGGTATCTTCAATAAGAAACAAAATGCATTGCTACAGGATGAAAATGGTAAAGTAATATTCGAAGTAGAGGACAACCTTAAAGAATGGGAAAATTACGTCACGAACCTATTCGAAGACGATAGGAGTAGTTCACCTCCTGATATTACTAACTGCGACGGACCCCTAATAACACGCTGTGAGGTTATAAAGACCATACAATCATCAAAAGATGGCAGAGCGACTGGTCCTGATGAAATTCCAACTGAAATATATAAGCTTATAAAGGATAGCAATGTTTTAGAGGCTATAACTTCGTTTTTCAATACCATTTATACCAGCGGACAACTACCTAATGGTTGGTCTAACTCACTGTTTATAGCTCTACCTAAGAAGACAACAGCAAAAACCTGTGCTGATTATAGAACCATCAGTTTGTTAAACCACTTATTGAAAAATTTTCTGAAGGTAATACATGGTCGTATCTACAATAAATGTGAGGAATACCTGGATGATACTCAGTTTGGTTTCCGTAACGGATTTGGAACGAGAGGGGCACTATTTGGAATGAACGTACTTGCTCAAAGATGTCGTGATATATCTGTAGACATATACTGTTGTTTTATTGACTTTCAAAAGGCATTTGATCGTGTTAAGCACTATTTACTGATCGAAGCTCTAAAAGACATTGGCTTGGACGGCAGAGATGTTCGAATAATTGCAAATTTATATTGGAATCAAACAACATCAGTTTTAGTAGATGGTGTGGAATTACAAGCTCTCAATATTAAAAGAGGAGTACGGCAGGGATGCCTCTTGTCACCCCTGCTTTTTAACGTTTACTCCGAAAGAATTTTCAGAAAAGCACTTTCTAATTTGCGATATGCGGACGATACAGTACTCCTAGCTTCTAGTCAAGAAGATCTGCAAACACTACTGGATAGTGTCGTTGAGAGTTGTAGAGAGGCAGGTCTGGATCTTAACATAAGGAAAACCAAAATACTCGTAATAAGTAAACAACAGAATATAAAACCGTCTATATATGTAAATAATACCAAACTTGAGCAAGTTGATAAAATCGTCTACCTTGGACAGCAATTAAATTGTAATGCAGAAAATCACGGCGAAATTAGATCCAGAATAGAGCACGCTAGAGCTGCTTTTAGAAGGATGTCCAAGGTGTTATGTAACAGAGACCTAAAATTGGCATTAAGGATCCGCCTACTTCGCTGCTACGTGTTCTCGGTCTTACTTTATGCTGTCGAGTCCTGGACTGTGAATAAAATCGATCTAAATCGCCTTGAGGTTTTCGAAATGTGGTGCTATAGAAGAATTTTAAAAGTTTCCTGGGTGGAGAAAATTCGTAACTCCACATTACTAGAACGTCTCAGCAAGACTACTGAGATCATAAAAAGCATCAAGCAGAGAAAGCTGGAATATTTCGGACATGTAATGAGAGGTCCCAAATATAGATTGCTACAAAATATGCAAGGAAAAATAGCAGGCAACGCAGTCCAGGACGAAGAAGAACCTCATGGTTGAAGAACTTGCGAGATTGGTATGGTGTAGATACAAGCATGCTATTTAGGGTGGCAGTGAATAAAATTAAAATAGCTATGATGGTAACCAACGTTCTGAAAGGACATGGTAAATGAAGAAGAACAGTCCAGACCTTATTAAGAGATTGTGGCATAAGATAAAACCGAAATTGCGTAGATCCTTAGAGAACCGCCCCCGATTTGAAAAGTAAATTAGGTGAATTATGGGAGTTTCGACCGTGACTTGTGTAAATCCTTAGTACGAAAAATGTCAGATAGGACTGCTGCGGTAGTAAAGGCGCGTAAAGATGTAACCCCATATTAAAATAGTAATTTCTTGAATTGCTCAAACATTTAATTGTCACTATGTTATGTCACATTTTCGCCAATGTTACATAACATAGTGTTTATTTTTCCGCCAACGTTGCAGTTCAAAGTTTATAGAGACCGACCCATTTCAATATTTTGTTATTAATGATATAGTTTAATGAACTATTATTGATCTCGTTCTTTGGTTCAATGACAAAGATCGTGAAGATGAACGTTTTTAATAAATTTTCGTTTGTTCGAACATTTAGTTGTTAAGGCTCGTATTCTGAATTCTTCAAATAACGGGATATAGATATATACAGGAAAATAAAGAACAGATACTTATAGTAAATTTAATAATCCAAGAAATATTAAAAAAATCAAAACTCTAAAAAAATTTAAGGAATATTAGCTAAGAAATCTTTAACAGTAGATGGATCAAACCTTCTAAATCCATTAGCATCACAGATACCAACTTCTATGTTGTCAGCTGTCATCTGACCTTCAAAACTTTCTTTCAGGGTAAGAATGGCAGTGTGAACAGCATCATCAAGTTCTAGCTCTTCACTGTACCTATAAATTAATTGATCATTAACTTCTATTATTAAAAAAATATAACAATAGTTCTTAAGTTCTATCTGTTATCAACAGTTCCTCGTAGACACTTCGTCTAGGACCATTTTACTTATGTAGAGTCATACGCCGCCATGTTACCTATCCAACGGTAACTTAAACATCACAAATTATAACTATTAATAATGTAAAACAACTACAAATTTAAAACATTTAAAGGGTTTTGACCCATATATTTTGGTGGCTACTAGCATGTACAACCGTTTGCACTGATGATGGATTTATTAATCCGAAAACGTTTTGCAATGTGTTTGTGATAGCCCGTTTGGGGCATTTTTATATACCTTTTATAAAGGATTTTAAACAATTTTTTGTATATACAAATATTAAAAAACAATACTTAATAAAATATTCGGCTATATTAAAAATACCCACCTTTTTTCCAAGAACGTTTTTCCATTGACATAATTCTTTCCCATTGCAGTAGCTTTCCAAGCAAAGTAAGCTCCAGAAGGATCACATTGGAACAAGTAAGGTCTGTTGTTATCCCAACCACAAATAAGTAGTGAAACTCCAAATGGTCTAACTCCTCCTGATTGTGTGTATTCTTGCATTACAGTTGCCACTCTCTGCACCAATTGTACTGTAGGAATGGGTTCATGATACACTAGGTAATACTGCTGGGCCATCTTCCGTGCTTGTCTTACAAGAAGGCGATAGTCAGGGCCCATACCGGAATAAACCATACCAATGTGTTTTGTGATCATTTCTACTTTATGGACACTGTGTTCATCATACAGAATTGATTTGTGCTTGTTCTCTGTTGCTATAACGACACCGTTTGATGCTAAAAATAAAAACATTTCAAATTAAACAAATTATTAATGGTTATTTGTTTCTACAACTAGACTACAAGCCCATTGGGTATTTTTATAGTTCATTTAACCCAGCATGAATCACATGTAAATCAATACTACAATATGTAATAACAACTTTAGAAACTGTGCCGCCAATTCTTATCGGTACTTAAAGCATGGGGGTTCAAATTAAGGGTTTAGCATTATTAGATTTTTCACCTCTGTTCCCGCCGAAATATGCGGCGTTACAAAAACATTAACCTATATGAAAATTCGGAACTTTGTGTATGAATGCTGTACTGTGTAAAATTGCCACAAATGAGAAAAATTTTTCTGAGAATAAAATTTTTTCGCTGCTCCTGGTATGGCAGGTCATATATTTGTATTACCTATCGACGTTATAAATGCTGTACAAATATGTTTGGCCAAAAAGTCCCCCTACCCCTTGAGTGGTAAGATCTTACACCTTATCACCTGTACCGATACGAATTGACGGTACAGTTTCTAAAGTAATTACATATTGCAGTATTGTTTCATATGTGATTCATGCTGGATCAAATGACCCATTAAAAATCTCACATGGGCTTGCAGTATATAAATGTATAATTAGTATATAAAATTTAGAAGTTTCTGTTGCATAAAAACACAATTTTCCAAGTTACACTCTTGTTATTATGATGCCTTTTACCTTACTGAAACCTCCTGAAAATACTGGTTAAGTTTTTCCCTATGTTCAGCTATTCTGCTTATTACTTTACATACATTCACTATGGTTCACTACCCTACATTTTAATTATGAATCCTTCCTCATCCTAGTCACATTTAGCAATCTATTTTATTCTTCATAATAAATGAATTCTAGTTAATGTTTTTTTCCCTTTACTTTTAACAATTTTCTACTCTATCCTGTATAATATATACTTGACCTTTAGTAGTATGTGAAACAGCCGCTCTTAATCTATGCATTGTGCAAGTTCTTAAGGACTGTTTCACACTACACACAACTAAATACAGGTCAGTTCTCCACAGTTAAACAACCAAAATATTTTTACTTTTGTTCTAGTTGTAGTTGGTTCTTAATATAAGTGTAAACCCATTTAATTACATTTGTATTGCTCTGAAAACTACTTCCGTTTATTGTGTCAACTGCTACACTGCACAGTTAAAGGAGTATACACTAGATGGCGCTTGAATATAAGATATTTAGGAGATGATTAAGAAATCTTCGAGAATATGGCTGCTGTTGTTGTTGGACGAGGTTGTGTTTGATTCTTTAAAAGTTAAATTGTGTAAGTAATTTTAAGGAAATGTTTTGTTCTACAGCTCTAATCATACCAGTTCTCAATAAACTTTAATCCTGTTATGTTTGTAATAGCGATATATATTGCCAATGGTGTGATTTCACCCTAGTGTACTCCTCCCCCAGCTGATCATCACATGGGGTAAGTGTGACCCATAGTTGCTGGGGGCAATGTGTGCTATAGTATACACTTACCACAAATAAAATTTTACTATTTACTTTCAGATATTTTTCAGCAAACCAAGAGTTTATCACAGAAAGACTACCAAGGGCAATACATCCACCAAAGAGACTCTGGAAGAAGCATTAAAAAATATTAAAAAAAGGCCTCTTACTTCTTCTTAGAAGAAGGCCTCTAAAACATATAGAATTCTTAAAGTTACACTGTATGGTCGAATTAATGGCAAGAGAGGCATGTGCTTGTCTTCTGCCTTCATAAAAATGATGAAAAAGTTGACTTTCATGTTTGAATATTGTGGCAAATTATGTGGCCATAAATGGACTTGTTACTAAGTTCAGAAATGGAATTTAGGGGGAGAATTGGTTCCTGGGGTTAAAAAAACTCTACAATTGATCTATCAAAAAACCACAAAGTGTGGAATTTGGAAGAAAGTAAATGAGAGATCTACTTATTGTGGACTACACAAAATATCTAGAATGTGGACGAAACCATTGACCTTTCAAAGACCAAAGTAGTTGGTGAAAAAACTCACCTTCAAGCAGAATAACAAGTGTTCCATGTAAAGAGAAGACCAAAGTACTATCTGCCTGTAATGCTGCTGGGGGTAAACCGCTTATTATATTCAAGGGGGAAAATGTCTGGGATCAGTGGGTGGATATCCACCAAGTGCATATCAGGGTTAAGTCTATGCTGTTAGTCAAAATGGCTGGTTCAAAAGTGACATTTTTCTGTCCTACTTCAAAAATTCCGTTTTACCAGCATTTGGTGAAAACAGACCAGTGTTATTTCTAAGTAGTAGAAGAAAATGTTAGATCTTTGTGTCTTCCGATCATTTGTGAGTATCTGGGATCCCAAACTAGTTCAATGACAAAGGTTAAATATTCAGCCATGTATCATTATTAGTGGCTTCAAAAGAGCTGGAGTCATACACTTTTAACAGAGATGTGGTACCATGGAAAAAATATGATATACAAGAAATCAAGCGATGGAAAGAATATAGGAGAATAAATACATATATTGTGATGCAGACCAATGATGAAGTAACTGGTTGTCCAAGCAGCGGTCAGAAACTTGATGTGATGCAAGACAACTGAATTATCTAATGCAGCTACGAAAGAAAAAGTGGTCACCTTTGAAGAATTTTTACTTCACACAGTAAAAACAGTTCCTAAATAGAGGGGAAAGAAGGGAAAACGTGTTGGTACTGGTGCCCAAGAAATAGCATCCACAGATGGGTTCTAGTGAAATTTACAACAAATACAACCAAAAAGACATATTAGAATAATACATTGAGAGGAATATTCTGAAGAATGAAGAGGGCACTTTAGTTGTTAAATTCACTAGAAATTAACTTTTGTATTTGTTTGGGCAGGAGGTGGATGATGTCTGTGACATATCAGATGAGAACACTGAATTGACTTTACCAGAATCAAATATGCTGCCAGAAGGTGAGAACCAAATATTGTCAAAAGAGATGAACTTACAGTTTTTCATTCCAAAATTACACCAGCTGAGAGTAACATGCCATATTAGAAAATTAAAGAAGATTTTTATGAACAGTTAGAAGAAGTATACAACAGCTCACAGAGAGATGGCATCAAGATCGTACAAGGAGATATAAATGCTCCAATAGGGAAAGAAGATTTTTTCCTAGGAACCATTGGTAAACATTTACTCCATCAAAACACCAATGAAAATGGAGAATTGCTTATAAACTTTACCAGTAGAAAAACATGATCATAAGCTCGACTTTTTTCCCACACCACGATCTATACAAAGCGACATGAATTATGCCTGGTAGAATAACTGCTAACCAAATCATGTTTTCATAGACAAAAGAGCCGCAACAAGTATACATGATGTGAAGAGCTGAAGTGGAACATGCTGTGGATCTGAACATCATCTAAAACAGATAAAATACAGATGCAGACTTCAGAGAAACAGGAAGGACAGACAGAAACAAACAACAGAACACTAGATATACAAAAATTGAGACAACAAGATATCAAACAGAATTATGAGATAGAAATAACACAAACACTCACAAATACAGGCATTCTAGACACCGAAGAACATTAAAACAAAAGTAATTAACGCAGCAAGAAAGATCACAGACAACAAAAAGAAACAAACAGAAACATAATAGTTTAATGGCAAGCGTAAAAAGGACATACAAAAAAAATGTAGAACACAAGAAATATATGGAAAGAAGAACCAGAGAAAGAAAAGCAAGATACGAAGATGCAAGACGGAGGGCCGATAAAATATGCGGAACAGAGAAAAGGAAATACGAAGACGGTAATATACAGAAAACGATATAATAGAAGTATATAGATATCAAAGTAATTTAAGAGAAGGATGCAAATCCTGGACAGATCTATGCAAAAATCAAGAAGGGTAAATAACCAGTGATCCAAAAGAAATAAAATCAGTCTGGGAAACCTATTTCCAAACTCTCCAAGGGACGCAAGAAAATGAAGAGCATTTGGAGATGCATCACATTGAGGGAGATAACGAAAATATGGAACCCCTGACGATGGAATAGGTAAAACAAGCAATACAAGCACAAAAAAATAACACGGATCCATGTATTAACAATGACCCCTCTGAGCTATATAAATTAGGTGGTGGACACCTAGTAGGACAAATGCATATGCTTATGAATAATATTTGTAATGATGAGAAGATCCCTAGCGACTGGAAAACTGGGAATATATGCCCAATCTAATAAAAAGGGGATAAACTGAAATGAGAAAATACCGCGGCATAACTCTCTTGTGCACAGGGTACAAAGTTTTTAATTAGATACTAAACAAATGACTAAACATATGAAACAACTAACTGATAATATTGTCGGTGAATATCAAACCGGATTTCGACAAGGAAGATCTACAACTGATCAGCTATTCACAGAGAAACAAATCGTGGAATATGATATTGATGTCTACAACATATTCATAGATTTCGAACAGGCCTATGACCCAATTAATAGACAAAAGTTATATACAATATTGCATAGGTTTAACATCCCCCAAAAATACATCCCACTAGTAAAAGCAACAATGGACTGGTCAACAGCAACTGTCAAAGTACAAAATGAGCTCACTGAGAACATTTCAATAATCAAAGGATTAAAGCAAGGAGATAGGCTGGCACCAACACTATTCAACTTGACTCTCGAATATGTGATAAGACAGCTAAATAAAGGAAGAGTTAATCTCCTAACAAATAAATCAATAAAGTTTGCCGCTTATGCCGATGACAGAATTACGCCGGCTCCACATGTGAGGGCCAATGTTGGCCTCAATATCGTTCATCCAATGTGTGTACCAACAAAACTGTGTTGGAGCCAATGTTGCTCGTTTGTCTCCCCCCTTGTACTTGGAAGTATGATTTCTACTTTTCAATCTTCTGGGATGACTTCTAGTGTCCATATGCAGTCAATTAGTTTATGGATACATCTCCATAGCACATGTCCACTATTCTTTATCAGTTCTGCAGTTATTCCATCTGTGCCAGGTGCTTTGTTATTTTTTAGATGTTTTATGATGTTTATCATTTCTTCCAATGTTGGTTGCTCAATTAATTGTTCTGCTGTGTGGTGAATTATTTCTTCATCTTCGTTTTGTTCTTTTTCTGGGTTTAACAGCTCTTGAAAATGCTCCTTCCACCTTTTCATTATTTCCTCTTTCTCGCTGATAATTGCCCCATTTTTGTCCTTGCAAACTGTTGATTTTGTTATGCATCCTTGAGTGTCTTGCTTGGTTTCCTTGTAGTCTCTCTTCTATTATTATAATCTGTAATTTGTTCTATTTTTCTATTCAACATTTCTTTTTCCTTTGCATCTTTTCTGAGTTTTTCATAGGCCCTTCCATTCAATGGCGAATCTCTTTGTAGACATTTCTGTCTGGCTATATTTTTGCTATTTATTACTTGTTGGCAATCTTGGTCAAACCATTCCCTGTTTCTTTTGCTTGAGGTTTCACCTAATGTTTTCTTTGCTATATTTGTAATTGTCGTCTCGATGACATTCCATTCTTATTCAATGTTGTTTTGTTCTCCTCTTTTATTTCATATTACTTTTATTTTCCGCTGGTACTCATTCTTCTTTTTAGGATTTTTATACACATATGTGTTCCATAAAAAGTACACTTAATTACATAAAATAACATGTAGTACATCCACATTGAAGTTAAAATTGTGTACTATAATGCTGCTGCCGGCTATGCGTGACATACCATTATTGACAGTTTCAAAAAGAATATTTTCAATCTTCCCATATGTAAATAATTGAAATTCTGACAAAAAAGTAGTTCAGGTTTTGAGAAAAGTACTTAACAACAAAATATATGCTGCGAACACGTTAAGAAAACCATAGCCTTTTCAATCTTCTGAAATGATTTTTGAAACTTGATTAGAGATGAAATTTGGTTTCAACTAAATGCTACAATCCACAGCATCAATGTTTTTTTACAACAAAAATAAGTAAACATTTTTTACTCCTTGAAAAATCCAAAACAAAGTATACCAACTTCAAAGTTGGTAGTAAGATATCACAAAATCATAACAGAAACTATAAATACAAATACAAATAGAAAATTGTTGCCATAGATGAATTATGTATTGTATTTTCTTAAAGAAAATACACATTTGTCTTTAGTAGAAATTAATCTGAACCTTTCATGGAAAAGTGAAGTGTCTAATATAACACTAGCACTACCTCTAATGTGCGAACTTTGCACTTAGTAAAGTCAATGAATGTGAATAATCTGGGTTAAGTACTTCTATATGTTATATAAATGTGTAGTTATCTGCAGTGTCCATATTCAATTCCATGGCAAAACTGTTACATACTTGTGAACATTTTTTATTTTAATATAAGGTTATACAGATTCCAAAGCAGTAGAACATGACGGTAGATAATAGTTCCATAACATGTAAATAATGTAAATATTTTAGAAATGTTTAATATAAGTACTTTGCACAATTAAGCATTTACATGCACTAAGATTAGCTGCATTTTCATGGTGAAGGCAGTGATTGATAATAAATGTAAGCAATTACCCAGTGATATCTTACTATTGGTTAAACTTGATTTATTAAGTAGCGAAAGCATTTTACCTAGTCTTGTTATACATTTTAACCTACACAATTGATTTTGGCTTGTTTTGAAGATTGTTAGTACACTGAATATATGTATAAATAAATAAGACTTCCAATCAAATAAAAAATTAGAAACGGATCTATACTTTTTTACAAAAAACCAACCTTTAATTCCTACTGACGGAGCACCCGCTGCTACAGCGGCTAGAGCATATTCAATCTGAACCAATTTTCCAGAAGGGCTGAAAAATGATTGCGGTTAATAAAACTGTAAATCTATTTCCTCAATGTGGTTAAAGAAATATAATATTTTACCTGAATGTAGTTAAAGAAAAACTGTATCTCTCTGAAGCCATGATTACTTGCAATTACTAACAAAATTTTCAACTCCGGTGTTGATGACTTGTGGATTTGATGTTTGACAGATTTTAATTTAGGGTTATGTTAGTTTCCATAAAGCGACAAGTGACATGACACTAAAAAATTAAATTTAATATTTTCTGAGGTTTTATAATTAAAAGAAAAGTAAAATTTTCTTAAACAATGTAATATTATTTCTTTGCTCCAATTTTATGTCAATTTAAAAGTCTTTTCAATTCACTTACACCATTACATCACCGTATTAATGGTTAGGATTTTAAATTTCCTTCCTGCGACATCTATCAGAAACAAACGTAATTTTTGTGTCAACTTCCTAGCGGAAACTAGAAGTAGGGTTCACACAAAATTTAATTTTTGTATTAATTCTTTGTATTTCTGATAGGTGGCAAAACTGAAGTAAAGATAATCCGAAATCATTGTTTATGCTGAAACGAAATTTAAATAAATATTAATATTTAAAATTGGATTTTATTCAAAACAGATACTTTTCGTTTAATTTTTTTATTTTTAGGTTACTCATTTTTATTTTACCCAGTAAATCTAATATGGTGAGGCACCTAGAGAGGCATCTAAAAAGAACATCTAGGAATAATAAGATGGTTCGAAATTATTTTCAAGGGAGCTGACAATAACAATGTAATGAGAATGATGGTAGGGATGATTGAAAACAGAGATATGGATCCCTGAACAAAATTATTGACGGGAAACCGCATAAATATTTAATTAACGATGGGGGCAGAATAGATAAATTAATAGGTGGTCGAATTGTAGAGAAGATTAAATACAGTCCATTTAATTTACTTACCGTTGCACGTCATTATGATGGACAGAAATCGAAGTTGACATAGTTGCCAAAGTATAAAAAATTCTGAATCCATTTAAAATCAAAAAGGTCATATAATTATTGCAAAAGTGGATTAAACAAAACAAACTACAACAAAACAAATTAAAATTTAATGTAAATAAATAGAAACAAAACAAGAGTTAAAAATTAATCTTGTTAAAAACAATTTGAGCCGCTTGTATGTGTCGTATAAATTAAGATGTAAAATGGAATACTTAAACAAAAACAATACTTTTTTCATTACTTATTTATATCTCTTTACAACGACTATTTAAATTCTTACGTGACGTTTTTGAAATAAAAACACACCAATTTTGTTCTGAAATGAACAGATTTTATTAAATAGGTAAAAATATAAAACAAGAGGTATCCACTTAAAATTCAAAATAATAAAGTACAAAAAGTGTCAACACCGCAATTGTCAAATAACTGTTACCAATTTATACCAAAATATCACCTTCATTCGATTACAGTTACAGTGTGTTCCGAACACATGTGCTTTTTAAAAACTCTTTATAATGCATTTATACAAACTAAATGAAACATATATTATGGTGTATTTCTTTAAGTTAAAATTCATAGAAATCTTTAAATATTATTTCTACGGGTATATAATAAAATATGTCTAGTGGTTGTAATGCCAGTGTACTCGGGAAAGTGATTCTAAAAAGAACACACCTACCGTCTAAATATTTTGTGTTGGTATCATGTGACCTCACGGGCTATGACGCGGATGACGTGCAACGGTAAGTAAATTTGATGAAGTATAGGTATAGGTATTCCGCAATTTAAGCAAGACTTATTTGCTGTATAATAAATAATATATATGTCGTAATAAAGCATTAGTAGGTATTTACCTACCTATATGGAAAAATTGAGAACATTGAGAAACCTTTTGATAATAAAAAATAAGTCAATTTTATGTTTCAGATTTGCCATTAGAGAGATTAGGTAAGTGTTTATCATGGAGCAGCGTAATTTTTGGATGAAAAATTTTTGGCATCATCTTCAAAATACAGAAATATTCAAAAAAAAAAAAGAAAAATAAATTGCAATCTTCAAAAGTTAAAATTAAAAAAAAACTTTTAGTATTCGTCACCCTAATTAGCAAAACTCGTATAGTAGCCTCGTATTTCCGTGAGACTGTGCAAAAATATATAGGTATGTCTGTAATAAAATCATTCAACAAAAAGGTACTCTACCAAGAGTCTGTAAAATTATCAATGACTCAGACGTATAACAATACAAAGTTTCCATATTCCACTCGATATTAACATTCAGACGTGCCTGGTATAATCTTTTAAAATATGAACCAGATATGAACAATCAACCAATTAAGTTTTCATGGAACTTATGACAAGTCCACGTGGACTAACGGCCAATGAAAACATCGGATATCGCTGTTATGACAAATCATAATGCATTATCTTTTGTCGGTAGACTTATTCATACTTGGGGTAAGATTATATCAGTATTTGACTGAGCTTACGGAGTCATAAAATAAGGGATCAGGTTTCGACCGTCCAGTGCCGAAGGCACGGGACGGGGAAAACTTAGGTAGGCAAATTTTTATAATATTTTATTTTTAAATTGCGGATATGACCAACAGATTTTTGGTAGACAAGAATATTTTTAGTAAAATCATAACTGCTACAGCGTTCAGTTAAATTCAAATTTCAAATAGTGAACAGCAAGTTAGTTTGGTAGTGACTTTTTTCAGTGTTCTTTATACGGAAAACATTTTATATTTTACGTTTTTTACTTTTTTTGATACGTTTTTACGTGATTATGTTTTTATACGTTTGGTAATTTTAAAATATTGCGTCCGTGGTGCGATAATAATTATGTAGCTGAAGAGACAATAGAACCCTCTAATCGATTGGAAGATTTACAAAGGCGTGTAGTAAAACGTAAGCGACATATTCAATACCTTTCTGATGATGCCAAACGTATGCTAAAAAATGTTTATGAAGGACTGTGTGCTGAATTGTCTAAATCAGAGGCAATTGCAGAAACATGTTTTTTAACCAGAGTACCCAAAGCAACCTGCTACAAAATTATAGGAGAAACATCTTCTTCTAGACAGAAGAGAAAGGTTTATGGCAAATTCAGAAAAATAGAACCGCACTTAATTGAATCTATAACTAGAACAATATACCAAATGTATGCGGCTAATATTTTTCCAACTATTGAAAGCCTTCGAAGTGAATTAGTTCGAAAGTGCATTCTCTCGTGTTCAGCAACAGCACTTCGATTATTTCTTAAAGCCAATAATTTTAAGTACAAAACTATAGACAAGAGACAGACATTATTGGAAAGTACTAGAATAATTTCTTTAAGAAACAATTATATCAGACAGATAACTGAGTATCGAAAAATGAAACGAAATATTGTTTATTTACATGAGACCTGGTATGATACTCATGACACCGTGAAAAAAAAAAGTTGGACAAATAATAACAAAAAGTGTTTCAACTCAGTACCGCCCAATAAAAGAAAGAGGATTATAATTTTACACTGCGGTGGAGAAAATGTATGGGTCGACGATGCATTATTAATATCTGCAAAACAAATTAAAAACGCGTCTCTGGATTATCATGACGATATGGAAAGTTCAATTTTTGAATCATTGTTTGAAAAATGTCTTCTTCCGAAATTACTTAAAGATACTGTGGTTATCATGGACAACGCATCATATCATTTAAGATTAATGAAAAAAACTTTAAATAATAGTTGGAATAAATTAAAAATTCAGGAATTTTTATTCACGGAAGATTGGTATTTTGAGACATCTTATATTAAAAAGCAATTGTTGGAGGTTGTTCATAGTAAACAGTACGAAAAGGAATATGTTGTTGACAACTGTGCTCGTAGTAACGGGCATAATGTGTTTAGACTTCCTCATTATTGTACATTGAACCCAATAGAGTTTATATGGGCTCAACTAAAAGGAAATATAATGGGAAGAAACGTTGCTCCAAAATTTTTTGTATACTGTTCTCCAGTTAATTAGAAGAGAAGTCACAAAAATTACAGCAACCAACTAGAAAAATAAAATAAAAATGAAACATGTGATCGGAGTGGAAAATGACTATGTTAAATATTTACCAGCATTAACCAAATTACCTATAAATTTAGATGATACGAGTGATACTAGTGATAACAGTGATTTTGAGTAGATAGTAAGTACTTATTAGGTGTTAGTTGAAACCTTTATTTCTATTTTAATTGTAGATATTCTAATTTTGCTTATATATCTTTGAAAACAGGGTATAAACACACTTCTTGATAGGACAAAAATTATTAATGTTTTAGGGGAGTATGTCAACTGAAACTGTCACTGTCATTCTCGCTGTATAACTACTATTATTAATAATGTTTTATATAGATATTATTATTTTACAATAAGTTCTGTTCAGTCAAGTCGATTAGTGTTATCACTCCCAAGATATATCACAGAAGGTAAAAACACCGATATTTTTTTATTTAAACTTTATAGAAAAATAGAAAATGACACTTTTTGGTAAATAAAATTAAATAAAAGTAAAAACTTTTATTTAATTTAAAATTAGATATCTACGCTACTGTACTACTACTATGTACTACAATAAACTAGTGGTAACTCTAACAGCGTTGCCATTTTACTAGTATTTTGCTTGCTTTGGTCTCTATAAATTTTCTCACGAAATTACGTGCCGACTATAACTCCATTTTTTTTCACTTTGTGAATATATGCGCCATCTCTTTGTAATGTAAATTAATTTATCTGTCTTTTGACCAAATCTTGTAACTCCATTTAAATGTAGAAATTAAATATAAGCGAAAAATATGGAAATCTTGTAAATCCGTATCACCTTGTGACTTCAGCAAACCACATAACTCCAATATAAGTGTGGTTAGGTACATCTAACAGTGACACTCACCACACTCAAGCAGTTTATACTTCTCGTGTATTTATTTTTTACTTTGGTAGAGTAAAGCATAATACTATGTCTAAGAAGATAAGATATTGCGCATAAGTCGTGACGTCATTGGGGAGTTACACATTCGAAATGTCAGTGGAGATATCCTTATGTGTACGATTATTGTAATTATTAAACCTCTTAAATTGTTTTCGTCTAGTAATTTCATCACAGAATGCATACAAATCCCATTTAACTTTAACAAGAATTCAAATTTTACTCTCCAATGACGGCATGCGCGAACACGATCGATTTTGTGCTACGGGAAGATCCTATCTTGTAAGTCATA